TGTTAAATAAATCTTAACCAATGATTCCTAATTGCATCTACTTCCGGAAGGCCAAATAAAGTGCTTTTGCTTTCGCACTGAACACAGCGTCTCCCTGACATGGCTGCATCAACACTACTGCTGTTCCTGAAACCACGCCTTCTTTCTTTGCGTGCACATTATGCTAATATTTCCACATAGTGACGTAGACATGTGGGGGCGTGTTAGAATGAGCCGTTTTAGGAGGGCGTGTTTGATTCTTACCTTTTATAAAGAATATCTCTTTGGATTTGAGACTTTAGTCTTTGCAACTTTACAGATCTTCTTTATGCACCAAGAGCTTGTAACACTTCAAGGAGAAAGGAAAACTTGAAATCGCATCATATGACCCCTTTAAAGTCCACATGAACCAGAAGCAGCTGCCGACTTTATTTCATTATAGTGACGTATTTCCAACTGAAACGGAATACTAAACGGAGGGAGGGGTTTTATTTTTGCACTCCTCCTCTCATCTCTCACTCATAGATATATAAAGTTATACTCACTCATATATAAAGTTATACAATACAATACAATACAATACAATACAATAACACTGATTCCAGATATCCTGAGAGGATGGGCAAAGGAATTTATTTTATTTTAAAATGTCCCTAAACATTCAACCCCAATCCCAATGAAGACGAAAACATTCACTTTCTGGTTGTCATACTCTCATTAAGTTAAAATTTTCATCTGCTCAAGAACTTTAATGTCATCTTGTGCTTCAGCAAGGTGTCTCTGGCTAAAACTAGCTAACGTTAAAGTTAGTGAGATGCTAACGTACAAACCTAAATAGCGAAGGTCTACATTTCAGTGCCTCTCCATATTAAACTGGTTAAATGTAAATTAATTTAATCTTACTCTGCGTTACATGAATCCTGGATGTTGTCATCTGTGATCGTGACGACTGTAATGAGGCTTCTCCCGCTTGCATTGTGATCTATAATCCCTCGCTTCCAAATTAATATTTTTACCCACCATATTTATTTTTAAATCTTTTATATATCCCTCTATGGCATATTTAAGACCCACTCGAATGGTGGTCCTTCTGTGTCCAAAATGTATCAAAAACATCTTGGGACAAGGTTTTCACACTGACAGCTGCCAGTTAGCAACTCCGTCTGTTTGTCCGAGTTCGCAACAGTAACTAAGGGGGGCGGAGCTTACCAATTGGTCAATTACAGAGGACCAAAAGGGTGAGTACTGGGAAAAGATACCACAGGAAGTACAGCACATCTCACAACAGGTCAGAAACGTAACATCCTGTGACCTGTATTCAAACACAGACAAGCGGCTCACCGATGCTGGAGTCCCTCCTGAACACGTCCCTGTCAAAGATGTAAAAGGACAGATGGCGGAAACTGCGTGGGATTTCACAATAAAAGTCCTCGCCGTAGAACGGACTGCAGTGGACAGACAGAGATATATTGTGGGTATTATTATAACAATAATAATTAGTTTTTCTGTTTTTAATTCAATTATTTTTCATTGTCAGTTTGATACAATAATGCACAGGTGTTGTTGATGCACCTCATAAACACAGACACACACAGTGTGTTATTCTAACACATCTTCATATGTGCATGGTTAGTGCATGCGTGTTTGTATCCTCACCATAAAGACTTCTCTATGGTTTTGGTTCGAAACACTTCCTCCTGGTCCAAGTTGACTGTGCAGTAACAATCCCGCATTTTATTCGGACCCGGATATGGAGGGATGTTCTTTGCTTCACCTGCAGAGAGACGGGCACTCATTTAGTCATTTGAGGCTGATGATTTATGCGTTTTGCAGCCATAATGAGATACAAGCAGTCATCAGATGGCTGAGACACATTTATTCTGACAGGAAAAAACAATTGCAAAAGGCAGAATTTTAACATCCCATCAGTGCCTCATTTGTAAGTTGCTTTAGATAACAGCGTCTGCTAAATGAATAAATTTAAACGTAAATGCTTCTGAAAAATTTGCATTCTTCCAGCGATGCATAAAATATGACCCACCTGGTGATGATGGTTCTATGTACATGAAATTATGTGATAACGTCACCTTTATCAAAAAGAAAACCTGGTTACTTTCGTTTGATATAAATACAAGCACACCAGAAAGAGACATGTTATTAGTAAAAATAATATATTGTGTTTGCAATGTGCACTATAAGTAAAATGAACACTGGATATTAACACCCAATAAAATATACAAAATAATAACAGTGAAATATACTTTTAAATGACCAACAAAATTAAAGGCATCCTAATCAGAAACAAAAAAGAGTTAAGGCATTTCTAAACACTAAAGCTGTCTTTACACAGCCAAGTTAAGGCTGCTCTGAGCCAGCATAATGCTACTTAAAAGCCAGACTAAATTATGCCTACTCTGAGCCACCTCAGCCCCAAGGATCACAGTATACAGCTGTAATTGCTGTGTAAATGCATTTATGCCACCTCTAAACAGCATCAGATAGTCACTTAAATGCCACTTCAGAAGTGTGCAGTAGGGCTGTCAAAAAAAAAATCGAATTTCGAATATTCGTCGAATTTAAAATAAAAATCCACATTCTATTGCAAAAATGTTGCATTCGGAATTTAGGTGTGCATTAAGGAGGCAGCCTTATCAGTGGCGTATGAGATGCGATGACGATGTAAGTGTCATTGCATAATGCAATGACACTTACATCGTCATCGCATCTCGTACGCCACTGATATGCGATGCGATGATGATATAAGTGTCACTGCATTATAATGCAATGAGACTTGCATCGCATTTTAATGTTTTTGTTAGCCTATCCAGTTGAAGCCCAAGTACAAAATTCGAATTTCGTTTTTCAGCCATTTTGACAGCCCTAGTGTGCAGTGTAAATTTGGTGGAGAATCTAAAAACCAAAATGCACCAGCATCCTCTCGCAATTATGCATTGTAAGTGCATTTACTCACAGTTTTCTATATTTTCACAAACACATCATTGCACACAAAAAAGCAGATGTAAGCCACTCTCTGGCTGCTGTGGGATCAGACACAAAACAATAGAGTGCAATATTCAGCGGCCGCAACGCAGCACTGGTGGGGCAGGGTGAGTTCAGTGCAAAAATCTGTGTGGGACCTGCAACCCAATACACACATCAGACACGTGAGCGGAGGAATGTTGTCAGCCCACACACATAAACGGACATGCGGCTGCAGCAGGAAGAATGCAACACTTTGGGAGGAAGTTGGGTGTGTTGCGGTATGTGTTTCCACAGAGTGAACCGGTGTCCTGTTACGCCCTCGTCACCCCACTGACATGACTGAAGGTGTCAATCAATCTCAGCGCAAGCTTGTTTCCTGCTCCTGTGAAATAAAAGGGTTGTTGTAAGCATGCAATGCAGTTTTCATTTCACTGCATGCAATGCGAATGCAAGTGCATGTGGAATATTGTGATCCTTCATAATGCCGATCAACTGGACTGCGATGAGTCACTAAGCAGATCAGAAGCGCATCTGATACTGCAGACAGATGCTGGCGAGGTGCTGACGTGGTAAGCTGATCCATGCATGAAATTCCGGATCTAGAAGCATCTCTGTTTCCTGTCCACTCCCTCCCAGCACACATAATCACTGTGTCCTGATTGGATTACAGCTCGCAGGTCACTCTGGAGACCACGGCACTGAGGGATTACTAAAGCTAGTACTAGTACTCATACTGATCAAACCTTAGGGCCCTATGATTTCCACAATGCATAAATCGCAGAATCAAGACATACAAATTGAATTTACAGTATAACGCAGAATCTCATGGAATTTTGGATGAATAAATCAAAAGGAGGACTGTACACTTAATTAAACCACGATATGGACCAGTGTCTGAAAATACTGAACCACAAAAAAAACAAAAAAGAAATTTAAATACTAGGGATGCACCGAATGTTCGGCAACCAAAATTATATAAGCAAATAAGTGAAAAGACCGAATAAATTGTACCGAACAATGATGTGACGTAGGGCTGGGCGATATGGGCAAAAATTCATATCTCGGTATTTTTGGCCGATTTGCGATACACGGTATATATCTTGGTATTTTCGTTTTTGTATTTGTATTTAAAAAATCTGTATTTAATATATATATATTTCACTTACCGCCCAATGTTGTCCAACAAAACAATACATATTAAAGGCTATGAAAACAAATAAAGTGAATGTAACCATGTAAGCCTTTATATTATGTGCATTCTAACATTGCAATCCAAAAACAAAAATAAGGCTTTTAAAGCGGAAGTTACATTCGCTAAACTAAAAATGAAAATAAATGAGAACAAAAGCACAGAGATGTGTTAGGCTATTTTGATTACCCCATTACAGTCACTTTACACTCAGTGCTATCATAAAAATAGACTTACTTGTAGGTTTAAAATTCTACGTCACATTTATTGTCCAACTACAAATATTTCAGCAAAATGTATATTTTAGTCAGAATTATTGCGCTGATATTTAATTGAACTCTGTCTGTTTGGCGTGCATGCGCGCGGCGCTCGTTCACTGAAGTGACGTCTGTGAAGTTTAGCGGAGAATCCCAAAGCAGAAGCCTCATGCAGAAGGCACATGGAAATATTTCTATGGCTTTCTAACATTTACAGATGGAGAATATTGTATCTTTAGAAAAAATTAACGGCACACTTAACACATAAGACACTTGCACTGCTTTAGCGTGACTGCTCTCTTTACTGGTTTTTCGTATATCAACGTTTTTACCGGAACACTTCCGGCTACAACGTAACACTACATTCTGGGAGATGTAGCTAAATAAACAACGTTAACAAAATACACAACATTTCCTCCCCTCTTACTCATAAGGTCAACATAAATAAAGAATTAATTATCACTTGCAGAATGAAGGTATGCCATTCAGTTTCACTGTAACATTCTGTGAACACATTTTTTTTTTTTTACAAATATTGTCCGAACATTCAGTCTTTCTTGTTAAATGTCTTATATATGAACACAACTAACTCCCTGGGAATGAGGGTGGACTACCTCAAACCCTAGCTTACCCTTAGGGGATTATTCTGCCCCAAAACAACAAGGGTAGCCCCTAACTAAGTGAAATCCAAGAAACGCTAAGGTGGGCGCCGCTCCCTTACTGGATATCGGCGACCTGCTTGTTTCTGATTTTCTGTTGAAACAACAGGTGATGACGGTTCCTTGGTGAAGGTCACAGCAGCTGGTGAGCTGTCGTCTACATGATCAGCGGCATCGGTACCTCTAGGAAGGTCCGTGGATATATTGGCACCACTCAGCAACTGATCAGTATGTCTCCTCCAGAGAAGGCTTCCGGCAGTTTTAACCTTATATGACACAGGACCCGTCTGGGTCTCCACAGTAGCTGGAACCCATTTTGAACCTCTGCCATAGTTCCGAGCCAGCACGGGTGAGCCTGTCAAGAAGGTTCTGTCTTTGGCTCGCAGTTTCCGTCGCTGTACCTGATTTTTTTGTTGTTGTAGAACAGTTTCTTTGAGGGTTGCTGGCTTAAGCAGCTCAAAGCTTGTCCTGAGCTCTCGATTGAACAGAAAATAAGCTGGCGACACTTTGGTAGTTGCGTGTGGAGTACTGCGATAGCACAGCAAGAAGTTATGAAGGCGTTGGTGAAATGTGCCTTGCCCAATCGAGCTTTCAAAGCATGTTTCATGGTCTGGACGAACCTTTCTGCTAGCCCATTTGTTGCAGGATGGTAGGGCGATGACTTGATATGTTGTACCCCATTTTCTAGCAGAAATGTGGCCATCTCATGCGATATAAATTGGGGTCGATTGTCTGAGACAAACTGCACGGGTGGTCCAAATCTACTGAAAATTACTCCCAACTTCTCAATTGTCTTGTCAGCTGAAGTAGATTTCATGATAGCCACTTCAGGCCACTTACTGTGTGCATCAGTGACAACCAACAGCATTTTGTCCTCGACTGGGCCTGCAAAATCAGCATGAATGCGATGCCATGGTTTATCCGGATATTCCCACGGGTGCAGCGGTGCCAGTTGTGGTATGACATGTGACATGACATGTGGCCAAGTATGGTGACCCAGTCCGCACACTAATCTGTCCCGAAGTGTGTCACTTAATGCATCACCAAATTCGCAGTGTTCAGTTAGTTTTTTTAGCACTGCCACAAACATTGTCACAGTTTCTCCTTCTAGCTGATTTCGTCGGTGGAACCGAAATCGCTCTGCAATTACTAAGGGCTTTGGAGAGAAATGTGCTTTGAGAGTGTTCACTATTTGATCATACGTTTTCTCTCCAGGCTTCTCTGGTTGTAGGAGATTACGCAGTAGAGTGAATGTCTTTGGACCCATCACACTTAAAAAAGTGGGTACAACTTTCTTTTCAGTAATATCATTTGCTGCTACAAAGTAACGTAACACTGCATTCTGGGAGAGAGCGCTGTACATTCACTCCCCCACCTACAATCCCTGCCGGTACGAGACTCAAACCCGCAACCTTTGGGTTATGAGTCCGACAGTCTAACCATTAGGCCACAACTTCCCCATGTGTTGTGGTACATTGCGTATGCTCTGACATGACGTACATGTTCTTGCCTTTTCCTCGATTTGGCCATCCACTCCTGGCGATCTCTTTCATGCGGACCATTCCACAGTGTCCCGCATGTAGCTGTTTCAGCACTGATTTACGCAGAGCTGGTGGAATAATCACTCTCCTTCCCCACAACAAACAGCCTGACTGCACCGAAAGTTCATGACGTCGAGACGTGAATG